TCTTGCTAGAATTGAGAATGTCAATGTCTCTGATAAAGTAGATTATCTGCTTCATATCAAAAAGAACTATTCAATTGCTTTTTGATGATATGAAACAAGATATAACAGATATTAAAATAGAAGTTCCTCAGAATTCTTCAGTTTTACTCATTTTATTTACTATTTTTTTCAAATTTTTATTTATTGATAGATAAATGACAACTATAGTTAGAATTTCAAGCTATATAGATGATTTGAATCTAGTTGTAAGCTCAGAATCAATTGTAAATAATTGTAATTTGATTGAGCAAGCAGCAACTGAAATGATTGAAAAAGCAAAATCAAAGAATATTATTTTTGATATAAATAAAACTAAGTTAATTTACTTTTATCTCAACTTCAGAGAAAAGAATTGTGAAGTTAAACTTTTAAATCATTCAGTTAAATCTAAAAATTCAATTAGATAACTTAATATCTGATTAGACTCTCAGTTAAATTTTAAATCTTATATTCAAATAAAAACTGCAAGTACTGAGAGAATCTTAAACAATATTATAAGACTCTCTAATACTGAGAGAGAATTATCTTTTCAAGCAATAAGACAGTTATATATTGCTTGTATAATCTCTGTTTCAGATGTTGCAGTACAAGTTTGATGAAAAAATCAAAAGTATTTTATAGAGAGATTTCAAAAGCTTCAAAACTTAGCTTTAAAGAAGATTTTGAAAGTATTCAAAACTTCTTTAATTAGAGCTATGGAAATTGAGGCCTCTCTACTATCATCACAAATGAGATTTGATAAAATCTGTATAAATTATACTCTTAGAATAATGAAGCTATATTCAAATTATTCAATTAGAAAAAGAGTATTAAGTTCATTTTCAAATGAATCAACTGGATTAGAATTAGATTGAAAATTACATTTTGATTGAAATGAAATAGATTTATCTCAAAATTCAAACTCTATACAAGAAAAAAAAATATCATCTCAATTATTTAAAATTTACTCTATAATCAAAGATAATTTCTCTAGTTTAAATATAGAGAAAATGATTTTTGAAAAACTCTCTTCTTGAAAGAAAAGTCTTGTTAGTCTTATTAATTTAAAAATTAGTCATCTATCAATAGAAGATCAGACAAAAGAATATTTTGATCTTTTGAAACAAATGAGAGATAAAGCAATTTTTATATATACTGATGGCTAGACTGGCTGGTGGGACCATGAATTTCACATTTGATTTGGTTTGGTTTGATCCCAGTTCATTTCTTGGCATTATTTTAATGAAACCAGAACCAGAATGGAAGTGTAAAGTGACTAGAATTATCAAAACATAAGTGAAATGGAACTAATAAATCTTGATATTCCATGTAAAGTGACTGACTATCAAAAACAAGAACATGATCTGAGACTGATCATGATTTTGACTCAAGTTTGATCCCATTCTGATGATTATATAATACATCAATCTGATGATATAATTGGTGGAGATATTACCTCTATCTTGCTTAGTGCTGCTGCTAATCTACCCGCTGCTGCCAACCTATCTATCACTGCTAATCTATCACTGCTAATCTATCACTGCTAATCTATCACTGCTAATCTATCACTGCTAATCTATCACTGCCAACCTATCTACCACTGCCAATCTATCTATCACTGCTAATCTATCGCTGCCAACCTATCTACCGCTGCCAACCTACCTACCGCTGCCAACCTATCTACCGCTGCCAACCTATCTACCGCTGCCAACCTATCTATCGCTGCTAATCTATCACTGCTAATCTATCGCTGCTAATCTATCGCTGCTAATCTATCGCTGCCAATCTACCTACCACTGCCAATCTATCTATCACTGCTAATCTATCGCTGCTAATCTATCGCTGCTAATCTATCGCTGCTAATCTATCACTGCTAATCTATCGCTGCCAACCTACCTACCGCTGCCAACCTATCTATCGCTGCCAATCTATATAGGGTAAATCATGGTCCCATTTGGTCCCATTTTGTAAAATGGGACCAAATGGGACCAGAATCATTAATTTATTAGTAAAACATGATCTGGGATTAGATTTATAATATAAACAGTGTAAAGTGACTAATTTGCTAAACACTATATGGGACCAGGACTAAGATATCTAATAATGGGACTGAGGAAAAATTTGGTCCCAGTCCCATGCATGGTCACACAGCCAGTCTACTGATGGCTCAAAATATGAGAAAACAGGCAATTTTGAAGCTGAAATAGCATACTCAGAAAATGATTCAAATTATTTCTTTGATTCTTGATAGATTGAAAAAGAATCAGAGGTTTTTGATGCTGAATTGTTTGCTATTTTAAGAGTCTTCAAATTAATTGAATTGAAAATTGAACAGTGGAAAAGATTTGAGTATATTTGAATATTCTCTGATAGTCAAGCAGAGTTTAAAAGACTTCAAAGTAGTAAAATCAGCAGTGAACAATCAACACTGAAACTGATTTTAAAAAGTCTTTAAAATATTCAAAAGAAAAACTTTTCAAACTATCTTATTTATCTTCACTGAGTGTCTGCTTATATAAATATATATAACAATGAAATAGCTGATAAAGCTGCAAAAAAAGTCACTGAATTAGAAGTCTGCTTTCAAAAAATTGTATCATGATTCTTTATTAAAAGAAAGATTAGAAAATTATATTTACAAAAATGACAAGATATCTGGTTTATACAAAGAAAAAGTATATATTATTCCAGATTTGAGACTAAATCAAAATGGAAGACTTGTTCAATAAAGTGTAAAAAGAAACTTTTTATCACAATAATATAGCTAAAGCTTGAATATGACTATTTCAAATCATATTTGATAAGATTTAGAGATGATTTGAATAATCTATATTTAAATTGTCAGTTATATGAAAATTCTGAGTAGACTGACTGATAGAACCATGAATTTCACATTTGATTTGATTTGATTTGATTTCAGTTCATTTCTTAATATGATTTTCAGTGAAATCAGAATTAAAATGAAAGTATAAAGGAATTAAAATTTTCAGAAATGAAGTGTAAAAGAATCAGATTTGAGTCTAATATAATCAGAATAGAACTAACAAATCTTAATATTTTATATAAAGTGACTGACTATGAAAAATAAGAATATAATCTGAAATTAATTATAATTTTGACTTAAGTTTGATTCTGTTCTGATGATTATATAATATATATACAATTGATAACAATTATTGATAATACTTATAAACTTATTTATACTATATACAATCTCAGTTAATTTTTTTCTTCACTGTATTATTGAAAGAGTATTTCATCACAATATTATTCTTATCAATAATTTCTTTTTTTTTTCTATACTTAATCATCATCAATTTCTTCATAATTTCTTCTTGTAATTGATTATAATAATAATAATAAATATTTTGACTTGAGTTAAACTTTCTCTTTATATCAATTTCTGTCAATGAAATTGTCAAAATATTATATATTATCATTGTCACTGCTGAATACTGACTACTAATCATTCTCTATAGATTCAGAATAGATTTTTTTTTAATATTAACAGAATTATTATATAGATAGTAGTTGAATTCAGTATTACAAGTATTTTATTTTATTAGATTTTCTGAAATAATTAATGAATGCAAATTCTTAAGCAGTATCAGTAACAGATTAATACTAATATTATATTAGATATTATAAAAAAAAATTATCAATCAGAGAATTATAATTTATAAACTCTTCAATTTGTATATTTATCTATTTATATTATTAATAGTTGTTATTGTAGTATATCTGAATTATATTAATATAGATTTATTATTCTTTCTCAGTTTAATTCTCTGAAGTATATATATTGATTTAATGTGAGAGATTAAGTACAGCAGCAATAGTATAATAATCAATAAATGACTGATTTATTCTGATATAATATTCTGCAAGTTTATCTTGAGTTTATTTAATTACTGAAAAAATAGTAGTATTTCAAAATTATTTTTCTTATATATAAATTATCTGAGTTTTCAGATGAATAAATAATCTATTATATATTTATTAAACAGCTTGCATTATTGATATAACTGTAATAGATACAGTCTTTATTATTGTATAAAAAATATATAACAGCTCAATAATATATTTTAATTGTATTCACTCTGATTCAGAAAGTTTCAGAGTATAAATCTTTTTTTATTTAAAATTCTGAATTCAATGATTTATAACATCTTTTAGTTGAAGTATTTGAACTGTCATTTTATAGATAGAACTTTACTGTATTTGAATATTTTATATTATATTAAATGAAGAAATTAAACTGTGTGTAATTTAAATATCATGAAATTGCTACTGCTGTTTGAAAGAGATACTAATTATATTGACAATATAATGAATCTAAAAGAGAGAATAATATAGTTAGAAAATTGATCAATTTATATCAGAGTATTATCAAATATTGTTATCTTGCTAAGAGTTGATGAGAATATGATTTAAGTATTAATTTCAATATTATTTTTATTAAAACAACTAATCAGTTCTGTATTTTCAGATTTAATATTCAATATTTTAATCAATACTTACATAATAAGTTGTATAATATATATAATATATAGAATATATTCATGTTTATTATTTCATCTGTACAATATCAGTTTTTATTTCAGACTTTATATTATAGTTAAATTATTTGCTGTATTATCTGTTGTAATTACAAGAAGTACTGATGAAATGTAATACACTCGCTTACTATTTCCTTATATCCTCGCTTATTATTGCTATCTTATTGCTATGTTCTCACTACCACTATTTCTATATGTATATATATATGCTTGCATGTACTCCACACATCTTCTTCTTTCTTTTCTTCTTTTCTTTCTTAGCAATTAGCTACTATCTATTATTGTATTACTACTATTTACTATTTACTACTATCTATTATCCACGCTATAAACTATCTTCTACTATTCACTCTTCACACTGTTATCACCCCTCACAGTTTCTAATCACTCAATCTTTGAGAGACAGTTCATTGAGTAATAGTCATGGCCTCTACACACAGTATCTGTTGTACTCATGCCATCATCAAATCTGAAGCAACTAACATCATCAGAGAAAACCACAAAATGTGCATTCATGAATTCAGAAGTGCACAACAGACATCTTTCTCTTCAGAGAAATCAAGCTCAGAGTATAGTTCTGAGGAAGACATCTCCTCTGAAGGTCTGAGTGCAATTAAGGCTGAGAAGATAGCTGTAACTAGACAGATCAAAAAGTTACAAGCTGAGAAGGAATTGCAAGAATTGCAATACAAGTGTGATACCTTACTACAGAAGTTAGATCAGACAATCTCAACCACTCAAAATATACTCAAAACATCTCTGAATCATGATAGAAATGCTACTAGTGCAAACCTTAACCATGAAAACACCACCAGCACTCTCAGATCACTGGAACCTGCACTGAGAGTATCTGATATCTTAGTGGAGAGCACTGTGACTACTGTCAGTGGGAGATATAGTCAGGTACCACTTTGGCAATTAGAACTTTGAGATCTTAGTATAAGCAATCACTCTTCTCAGAGAGAAGCAGAGAAGTTTCAAAGCTGAAGTATGAAAGAATTTGAAACCTTTATTACTGCTGCTATTGCTTTCCATATCAGTGATTTTGATTATTACAATGAATATGATCACTGCAAGATCATTGAAGCAGTCACTCATTTCAATGTCAAGATGCAACAACAATGGTATCAACATATATATGATATGCAAGTTTTACCACCTTGGGAAGAATTTGTTAGCTGAATGCAATATCAAGTCATCAATTCAGACAAAAGCTTTCAGAATACAGACAGAGATTACTGGAAAATAAAACAACAAGAAAATCAGACAGTTCAACAGTTTGTCTTGCATCTATAATTGATTGAAGGACACCTGCAGCACTCTTATAGCAAGTATCATTGAAAAACACATCTTTATATGAAAGTTCTTGATTCAGTTTGCAGTGAATTTGATAAATATGCACTTAAACTAGAAGATTTGAATTATAATATGATACTTCAAAAACTTACACTTGCAGAGTCAAATCTGTCAGAGAGATGAAAGCAATTTAGAGAGAAGTTAAATTTCAAAAACTCTTATCAAAATTTTAATAGAAGAAATAATACTAACAATCAATCTCAAAACAAATGCAGATGGAATGATTCTACAAAGTTTAATGACTTCACATGATTGAAATACTGCTGCTATTGTAAATGATCAGAACATACCATCAATTCATGTTTCAGACAACTGAAAGACAAATCCAAGAACATCAAATTGAACACAAAACTCAATTTGAAGGATTTGAAGAATTTGAAGGATTCAAAAAACACATAAAGTACATCATTCAGCTTGCAATGACTGCTGTAAACACAGAAAGTCAATGTAAAAACATCTTAAGCTTCACTATTACAGTAGAACTTCTCACATCTAAGAATCTACAGAAGATGCTTGCACTAGTGGATTCTGAATTAGAAGTGAACTGTGTTGATGAATTTTGAGCAAAAGATTACAACTTAGAAGCTGCTCACCACAACATCAAGATGGTCAAGTCAATTGATGAATGCATAATGCACTTCTTTGAAGAGTATAACATTGCAATCACTGTCACTGATCACAAGAGCAATGCACTACAGACATTTTATTCCTTTCATGTAATGAAGATGAAGAATTACAATCTTGTTTTAGAATTTCCTTAATTAAAGCAAACAAATTCTCTTATAGACTGGTCAGATGAATAATTCTTTTTTAGAAATTCTGAAGATGAACAACAGCCTCAAATTATCTCTGAACAGAATGTTTTAGCTGAAGTTTTTACAGAAGCTAAAGTAGAAATGCTTATAGTGTTATCTACAGAACATTCAAAAGATCTTAAGTATGCTTTTCATGTATTTTCAGCTGCATACTCAGACTTGCTGATCAGTCTATCTGATTATGTTATGCTATATATACATATCTTCTTCAAAGAAACTGCTATAAGCACAAAAAGATCAGAAGAGGCAGAACATTATATAGATCTCAAGTCTAACACACAATCTTTATTTATATCAATATATAATCTCTCTGAGACTGAGTTAGCTGCTTTAAGAGAATACTTAGACTGGCCGGTGGGACCATGAATTTCACATTTGATTTGATTTGATTTGGTCTCAGTCCATTTCTTGGCATTATTTTAGTGGGATCAGAATCAGAATGGGAGTGTAAAGTGACTAGAATTATCAAAACATGAGTGAAATGGAACTAAAAAATCTTGATATTCCATGTAAAGTGACTGACTATCAAAAATAAGAACATGATCTGGGACTGATCATGATTTTGACTCAAGTTTGGTCCCATTCTGATGATTATATAATACATCAATTTGATGATATGATTGGTGGAGATATTACCCCTATCTTGCTTAGTACTCAATGCCCTGATGGCTTGCTATTAGATCCTCTATCTATCACTGCCAATCTATCTACCACTGCTAATCTATACTGCTGCCAATCTATCTATCACTGCTAATCTATCACTGCTGCCAATCTACCTACCACTGCCAATCTATCTATTGCTGCCAATCTATCTACCACTGCTAATCTATCACTGCTAATCTATTGCTGCCAATCTATCTACCACTGCCAATCTATCTATCACTGCCAATCTACCTACCGCTGCCAACCTATCTACCACTGCTAATCTATCACTGCTAATCTATTGCTGCTAATCTATTGCTGCTAATCTATTGCTGCTAATCTATTGCTGCTAATCTATCTATCACTGCTAATCTATTGCTGCCAATCTATCTACTGCTGCCAATCTATCTATCACTGCCAACCTACCTACCACTGCTAATCTATCACTGCTAATCTATCACTGCCAATCTATATAGAGTAAATCATGGTCCCATTTGGTCCCATTTTGTAAAATGGAATCAAATGGAACTGGAACCACTAATTTATTAGTAAAACATGATCTGGGACTAGATTTATAATATAAACAGTGTAAAGTGACTAATTTACTAAACACTATATGGGACCAGAACTAAGATATCTAATAATGGAACTGAGGAAAAATTTGGTCCCAGTCCCATGCATGGTCACACAGTCAGTCTAAGAATACTTAAAGAATGCACTAGATAAAGAGTGAATACAATCATTCAGTAGCTCAGCTGATGCATCTATTCTCTTTATTCTCAAAAAAAATAATGGACTTCATCTCTGTGTAGACTATTGAAATCTAAATTGAATTATCATCAAGAATTGATATTCTTTATCTCTAATAAATGAATTACTTGACAGACTCTCAAGAGCTAAGATATTCACTAAGCTGAACCTTTGAGATGTCTATCACTGTATACTTATTGCAGCAAAAGACCACTGGAAAACAGCCTTTAGAACAAGATATAAACATTTTGAATATATAGTTATACCATTTAAACTAGCTAACACTTCAGCCATATTTCAAGCATACATTAACAATGCCTTGTCTGATTTGCTGAATATATATTGCATTGTCTATTTGAACAACATTCTCATATTCTTCAGTTCAAAACAGAAATATGAAGTGCATATTTCTAAGGTGCTGAAACATCTTGAGTGTGTGAATCTATTTACAAAACTCTCTAAGTGCAAATTTGAAATGGATAAAGTCTCATTTCTTGAGTTTGTTATAGATGTGAATGGTGTCAAGATGGAGTCAGACAGAGTTTCCACTATTGTGGAATGATCTATATCTAAGTCAATCAAAAAGATTCAGTTCTTTTTGAGCTTTGCTAACTTCTATCAGCAATTTATTAAGTCTTTCTCATCTATTGCAGCCCCATTATTTGAACTAACTAAGGGGAATAAAAAGGGAGAAAGAAAGGCCACTTTTATATGAATAGAAAGTGCTCAAAGCACTTTCAATGAGCTCAAATCTCACTTTATGTGTGCTTCTCTATTAGCTCATTTTGATCCAGCTCAGCATATTCAGATTGAATCTGATGCATCTACTTTTGCAGTTACTGTTATTCTATTGCAATTGCAGAATAATAAGCACTGACATTCAGTTGCCTTCTGATCAAGAAAGTTGATTGATGCAGAAACATGTTATGATACTTATGTAAAAGAGGGGGACACTGAGGTTAACTATGAGAGTAGTGTGAAGTACACACAAGGTTTATAAGATTTATCTGAAAGATAGCAGTCTCTATTATTCAAAGCTAATCACTGATCTTCTTGAGATCTATAAATATCAGTGAGTATTATATAGTTGGCACTGCTGCTATCATGCACTATGGCTGTCTGTAGTGCTGTTGTGCTTTGTCTTCTCTTATTAATTCTGAGATGTTCTGTGTTTTTCTATTGTCATATAGCTATTTTCTAATATAGATATCTCTGTTGTATCTATTACAATTATCTCTCTTCTTCAAAGATCTGATTCTCAGAGCTTTTTATTGTAGAGTGTGAGGTTTGTAAAATATACTGTATGATTGATATTGTATAGAATTCACAGAATTGAGCTGAATTAATTGTTAAGAGTAATTCTGAAGTATTGCTGTTCTGAAAGAAAGTTATTCTATCTCTGATATTATTGTAGTTCAATTATGATTTAGACACAATCTCTGAATCTCTTTTCTTTAACTTTTATATTAAAAATTGTACTCTAACAAGATCATCATTATCATCATCAACAATGATTTTTTTATTTAAAAAGAATATATTATTTTATCAAGCAAAGTACACTGTATCTTTTCATATGATTTTTATTGTGAAATTTGAAGTTTTGATTGTATGATTGCATTTTTTATTTTGAGTTGAATTTTATATTGTTGCAATTCTCAAGCAATATAGCAGTATTGATTTTGATCATCAACATTCATTTTTCTTTCTTAACTTTTTTGCTCTTCTCTCTCTTTGCAGCAAAATCTTGATACTGATTAGAATAGTAGAATATCAGAGTCAGCTGCTTTCATTGCTGATTCAGAATCTATAGAGAGTGATATACTGAATATTATTGAGAGTATTTGCTTGAATTACTTGAAGAGATTATAAAATCCTCTGATATACTCTTACTTTATGAACAATGAGCAGATATGCTGTTATATCTGCTATATATTAAATAGAAATTGTGCTGCTGTAAGTGTCTCTGATTACATTTATTATAAGTACTAACAGATTATAGATGTCTGAGCACTTTCAAGAAACTGATTAATCTTTGATTGATGAATTTCAAAAGATGCTGCTCTTCAATGAAGTTCTAAATAAGAGATTTACTATATATCAAACTATCATTGTAAGATTTATATTTGATATACAGATCTACAAGAATATAGATGAGATTCTAGAATCTTATATAAACTTTAATAATCTGTTGTCACAGCAGAGTATGATATTTAATTATAGCAGTATTTCAGAAAATACATTCTTACATTCTGCTATCATATCAGTGTCATTCTTACTGAGTAAGAATCTTGATGTATTACTTGAGTTATTCAATAACACTGACAAAGATGAAAAAGCAGACAGTTCTATTGAGATATTAGAAAGAAA